CGTTCAGACAGTACTGGTGTTTTGCCTCCGCCCAGACATCAAACCTAGGACTAGGATATACTAAAAGAATTATACCTGTCTTGTCCCCTCTCCCCTACGGTTCCAGGTTCACGATAGTTTTCCCCTTCCTTCTCCAGGTATCCCGATCTGCGACAGGCTCCATGGGATCCACAACCCTATGAGTACTTGCCGGCATTCTGGCATATATTGGCCATCAAGTTCGCGTTTGTCTTCGCTTTTGAGGTGAGTTGGCGAACATTTGCCTCAATTCCAGAAAAATAACTTTCGCAGAGGCTTCAACCAAGTTAGTAAAATGTGTACAACGCTTGGGTTGTCTGCGAGGGCTCAGCTAGGTTTTAGTCATCACCTACCTGTGTTTGATTTTGCACTCCATGCCACGAATTCTCTAAAGACTAATGCCATTCGACACTTTGGGAACTTACTGGCGAATGCGTTGTCTAATGCCTGCGCCAGGGAGCCAGATGGCCGAGTAATCATCACGACAAATTCCATCACGCATGGTGAAAGTTCAGCAGGTTACGATTCGCACGCCGGCCATCTAGGAATTAGCACACAAGCGGGCAACTTTGCTCGATGGGGGGGGGGGAGATTCATTAATTAGCATAGCTTCGACGTATTTAGTATGGCAACTACATCCCATTTCTGCTATTGCCTCTGTTGATTGTCTCCGCGGCGAAATCTGCGAAAAGTCAGGCGAAGAACTGTTTTTTTGTCCCAGCCATCACATCTGTTTCTTCTTTGCTCTGTCTAGAACGTGGCCATCATCCTGACCTCCATGATTGCTTCCTTCATTCCTGACATACCCGCTCGCCTATCGGTGGTTGCGCGTCATGAAGCTCGCGTAGTTAATGAACTCATTCTGCGCGGTGAGATCGAAGACGAGGACGCGAAAACGCCGCCGGAGGAGAAACCGCCCACCACTCTACCGCCTCTCCAATTTAACAACTACGAACATCCCGAGTACAATGTAGGTTTGATTGCCTCCTCCTCCCCCCTCCTACCCCTCCTC